AGTTTATTTTTCATTACGCCAGAGTCAGTCTCGTTATCGAAACGGATTGTTGTTGGGGACACATCAACTTTGATGACCTCAAAGGAGATATTAGTTGTCCTCGCGATTTGGACGAGAAAAACTAAAGAGACAGCGGCTTTTGAAACTTACATATCACCTCAAGTCTGTTTTTTGCAAACAGTCACCTTTAAAGTATGGTTAAACAGCTTTTGACGTAGTATAGTAGTTGCTTTGTGCTGGCATAAATAGGCACAAATCACTCTCACTGCTTTTTTCAACAGTAACAAAGCATTTTGAAACAATTTTATGCACCTGTCTGTGAAGGCTATAATCATATAATCCAATCGTTATATCGGTTTACTACGATAATAAGGAGAGTCAATTGCTTTAGATACCAGCCATCGCATATTAAAGTGTTTTCTTTTTCGTTGAAATGTCTTTTGAAGGCATTAAAGGACATAAAAGCCATATCTGTTAAAGCTCCTAGCAGATTCTGTTCAGGATCAGATCGGTTGAATTAGGTCATTTGACGGTTGACGGTTAATTTTTTGGCATGTTGTTTATAAAACGAAATAAATGCGTGAGTTTGGCTGTAATTTTTCATAACAGGCTACAATTTTTCCAATGATCTAATAGTCGGTTATTAGGTTTTGGTCTTCACCTATGTGTCTTATTAGCGTAGTTACATCATCTTTGCAGCCGCTGGACGTATTAATAGCCTGCTCAGTCAAGTGGTGTACTTGTGTGGGGAGTCGTATAAGGATCTCAAAGTCGTTGTTTATCAGAGATCAAATCTCATCGATGCTTTTACCGGTCTCCCCGATCTTGTAATGAAACTTTTTTATTCTCGTACACAGTTGGCGGAAGAGCGCCTGCTCTGTCTTTCTTAGTCTCGCTTCCAACGGTTCTCTGCCTTCCTGGTCTGTAAAATTTTACCCATTCTTTCCGATTTCCACCTCTTTTGGATTATTATCTGCCGTCAAAGAGGTCATAAATTTAGCGGCACTGAATGGCATACTAGAGGAACAGGGTAGTACGCCACAGGATGTGTGAAATAACTGGCTGTCCACTTTGTAAACCGTTTAAAGGACTCCTTTGAAATAGTTTCAAAGTCCATAGCATACTGAGGTATTGACTCAATATCTCATGTTCGAAAATTCTAGATTTATGGTGTTGATGTTTTCTATGAGACGATTAATGCCTCTAAAAATAAGCTGAACAGACAAATGGCTGCGGAGCTGGGTAAAGGTGGCTCAATGTGAACACGATCAAGATGAGTTATCCTTCGTGCGATCTGCTCAAGGTGTTGAGCAAGGCACTGACATAAAGTTGCCTCAAGGGAAAGTTTGTAGGCTCTCAGCTTGCCTTCCAGCTCGGCGCTAAATCGAGGTTAGGGCACAATTGCACTGATTCGTTCATGTCAATAAACCGAATTGTCTTGTTGCCACGTTCTACGACAAAACCTACCCCGCAAGGAAAACAAACGTCTTTGGCGTCTTCGTATCCCATCTTCTCTCTAATACATCTGCTGTTTGATGAAGACGGATTCGTAGCAATCTTGTAGAGCACAAAGTAAAGTCATAATCAAGTACAAGAATGCTACCCATTGATCCTGAACAAACAGCGACAGGATGGGAACATGCACCAGGCAAGTTTCACTTTCAAAATCTGTACTTTGATGGCCAACATAGGCGTGCTTGTTTAACGGTTCACGATAAAAATATTGCTTTTTTGACCATCTGACGGTTGACAGTTAACCCATTGAGACCATCTTATTAAGCTGATGAAAGTTCATCAAAGTTCTATGGTTATATAAATTCTGGTCGTTGAAATTAGAGAAACCATCTCCTTTCTCCGTACGAGAGAGTAAAGTTGCAAGTTAAATGAGATCCGCGCGGAACTTCACTGACTGTTAATAACAGGGTGAGACTGTCTCACTGCATTATGCATTGTAATATTTCACGTTTATTGTTTAGGCTTTTATTGTTTAACTTCCCCTACGGTCCACGTAAAAATAAAGTCCTCTGCGCTCGGCCTGTTAAATCTTCTTCGAGCATGCGCGGCCTGTTGCTTAGAAACAAATTAGTTCCCGGTAGTAGTCGGCCAACTAAATAGGATGCGTGCGCATAAAAACGTGTTTAAAACAGATACTGACCGGTTTTGCAAATCAGATTATCCACAAACTTAGATAATTCCCAGGCGCAAGCTCGAAGAAGATTTAACAGGCCGAGCGCAGAGGACTTTATTTTTATGTAGCCCTTAGGGTAAGTTAACAAATAAACGCCTCTACAAGCAGGGTATACAGAATACAGACTGTAAACCGGGGACGAAATGTAGACTAGGTAAAAAATGCAGACTGCAGACTGTAGATTGGGTACAGAATGCAGACTGGAAATTTTGAAAACTGTTATTTCGTCTGATACATGATAACATACTGTGGAATCCCGATTTCTCGAACCCTCGGTTTCTCGAACCCCCCGATATCTCGAACCAAACCTTGTTTTCCTTGGATCTGCTTCACTTCTTGTAATTTCACCCCCGATTTCTCGAGCTTCCGATTTATCGAACCAATTTGCGTTTCCCCTGGAGGTTCGAGAAACCGGGATTCCACTGTATGACATCTTACAACTTACCGAGTGTCACGCAATCGCCTTTTAGCAATCACTTCCATGATCATTTGCACTATTTCGGAATATTCCTTGTCAGTTTCTTCGCATATTTAGTTTTTAACAAAGTGGCCACTGAATTCTGTTTTTTAAAAAGCGGTGACAATTGTTCTCAAATGGAGTTTCAAGCCATCGTATATTAATATAAAAAAAGACAGCTTTTGTATGTGTTACGAAGTCTTCACCTTCGATATGAGTATATTTTCAATTTGTTGTCAAAAATGTTGACTTAGAGCAAAACTTTTCCACACAATGACTTTCCCAAATTAATGTTTGCGTCATCAAACAGACGAGAGGTAAAATCATCAGAAAAGTAAACAATTAACCATGCAGTCACGAAAACAATGCTTCTCCCTCCCCTATAAAAACTTGCCGGTTACTCTTTTTAGCGATATATAACGATATAAATACTGACGGCTCGCAGTGAGAAGAATGAACTCTTAGAACTGTATTTAAGAACAATTGTGACCTAGACGCTTTGTTAAAAGAACAATAATGGGAATATTCCACAATAATGCAAATGATGGCGAAAGATGATCACGGAAAAGCGATTTTATTAAGCGTTTTCACTCATAGTTACACCTTTAGGTTTTCAATGACCTTTAATTCGGTTACACATGTGCTAACTGCGACGAGTATTTTAATTAAAATCGAAACTCCTTCAAAGAAAGGTCGAGTCAAATATTAACGTCGCAGCAATACCTCGGAAATGTGATAGAGGCGTTCCCGTATAATTTCGGAAGGTCATTAGCAATATTGATCTGCTGTCGACATATAGATTTGTTTACATCTGAGTGAGTGACACATTTGCATATTCTGCCCCATTCTATAGTCGTTTGTAAGCTTCGCGTACCCACGACTAAAAAGATTATAAAAGTGACAATGACGATGACGAAGGCTATGACGGAGACGATGACGACAAAGACGACGGTGACATTACGGTGACGATGACATTGAAGATGACGATGACGGTGGCAGTGACGATGGTGATGACGATGATGATGATGATGATGATTATTATTATAACGATAACCAAAAACATGATGATAAAAACTATTAATATCGATAATTTTGAAAACATTAGGCAAAATAATGGGAAAAAAAAAAGTTTTGCTTTCTGGCGGCTATCCCCTTCAATTATTTCAACTGTTCGTTTTAGGGTCGTCAGGAAGGACACAGGAAACTGTTTCGAGACAATGTACTGTAAGAGCTGGGACGTAGAGGAGTTCATTGGTAAATATGCTCAGGTCAGACTCGATGATGAGAGATCTGACGGCTGGGGTCACTTTAACTTTAATTTGATGACCTTAAAGGGGATATCATTTGTCTACCTTACTGATGAATGTCTGATCGAAAAGATCTTTTATAGGAGACAAGGTAGAAGAATAAAAAAAGTGTAATGAGAAAATGATTTCTTTATTTTTAAGAATTTTTGCTTTGTGGAAGTTTTTTCTTTTTTTTTTAGTCGAGCTCGTGGTTTAAATAATTCGAAAACTAGCCCGATGACTCGTAATTTTTTTCAGTGATTGCTTTTGGCACTTGAAAAGGAAAATGCACAAAGATTTTAACAAATTATATCGAGGCAATTTTCACACATCGCAAATTTCCTTCCGTAGAGTTTTCCTTTTTTTTTTTTTTTTTTTTTTGATGATTCCTTTCGAAGTTATTATCATATTGGAACAATAAAAGGAAGGGGTCACCGGACTTGTTTTCATGCAATAGCTTTCGTGAGTTTAGCAATTTCCACGCGCGTTCTCGCGCATTTAAAAATCTGGATTCTATAAGATCGACATTTGCTCATGATGTGTTTTAGCTACCGCTGACAATTGGGTGTGCTCGCGAGAGCACCTATGATCTGATGTTTACAGACTTTTACTGCTGAGAAAATCATTAAACAGCCGTCAAAGACAGCCTCCCAAGCTCATCTTAAAAATCCTACACAAGACGTCTGGCTGTATCATATTATTTTCCTTGCAGTTTCAAAGTCTTCTTCCACTTCAGGTAGATTATCCTTCACTTGAGTTATTCTTTTTTCGCCGTCGCAAGATTTCATATCTGTTGAATATTTCTTTTAAATGGGAAGTGAAGCAACCTTTACTTCTCGGAAAATCGTTTTCTTTATCTCAGTTTCTATCTCTGCATTCACAGTGGCCGCTCAACACTTCAAATACAAACTCTCAGGTAAACTTTTCACATTAGTAGAAAAAAATCGTCGCGCCGCTATCTTTGTTTTAAATTTTCGTCTTTTAATCTCGCGCTTCTTTCGCACGTTTCTCTCGCGCATGACGCAAGAGATATCTGTTCCCCGCGCGAGGAAACTAGTACGAGCCACCTTAAAGTATACAAAAAAATGCACATTATATCTGATTGTAAACTGTAAGTTAGTTGATTTGAACTGTCAGACAAAACCTCTTTGCAAAGAGTTTCAGTTCATTATTAGTTTAAAGCTTCAAATTGGTAACCCTTGGTTATGTCTATACTTCAAACAACCTGGCCCTGGGTTACAAACACAACAACAGTAACAATCGATAACCAATGAGTTACAACCTATCCTTCAAGAAATTTAAAAACATTCTTCTCTCTTCCATTTCCAGTTTGAGTTTCTCCTTTCTTTCATTAACTTCAGCATTAAACCTCCTCCTCTGGAGTTCAAGCTCTTCTGCTTTTAGCTGGAGCTCCCTTTCCTTCCGGTCTGACTTTCTTTCATAGTTTTTCTCGAGCATGTGAATAGCAAAAAGTTTTGTCCCTCTCTTTCTTGAAGCTATCCCTTTAGAATCTATAAATTAAAACAATATTATTGAATAACAAACATTTACAACCATATATATGTATACGGTTGTAAAGAACTGTAAACTGTGAAACCTGTCAGTTATTGGTTATTGGTCCATTGCAAAAAATTAGCTGGCTGTTTCATGTATCTGCCTTGAATGTGCTCGAAAGTAAACAATTAATTGCAAATTTTTCCATACATAAAGACTTCCACTTATTCCCCTAAAAAAGTTAGGATGCATTGTACACTTCAGTCACTTAAACCAGCGTAGTGTGAGTGTATTTATTTAATTATTTGATATTTGTTTGTTTATTCTTTTGCAACACAAACTCCTTGCACACCTTTCTTACTGCTACTGCTGGCAGAGCTAGCCGAGTCTTCATCCATTGAATCGTCCTCCTCACTGCTTCTCTCATGCCTGCATTCTACACAAGTAAAATAACAAATGTTCCCAACTAGTAAAAGCACATAAAATGCACATCATTCATAAATACATGAAAAAACTGTTTTAGACACACAAGGAAGTTGATGCCAACATGACCTACCCCTAAGCTCTCTAGTGACTATCATTCTTTAGTCATTGATGACATTTCTCTATTGGAAGTTGTTTTTTTAGCTGCTTTATTGCCCCATGCATATGAAACTTCTGTTAAACCAATAGTAAGCGACTTTCTTACGCTAGATTATAAAATCATCTATGCAAATTAATCTACCTAATCGTAAGGGTTTGAGAAGCAACACTTCGATTCAATACGCTTCTATCGCTCATCAATATGGCTCGTTCATGCACAGAAGTTTAGTCGCTTGATAATAGTCAACAGCTCCTGTAAGAGTGACGTTTGTTTTACTTGCATTTTCATTTCGCATTAGGCTAAATCTAGCCTCTCGTAAAACGCCGCAAGACACCTGCTCCTCGCTAATTTTTCTTTTGTCGACTCGACAAATTCGTGACCGTGAAAAGCGTAGCTGTCAACGATATGTCATCATATTAACTTAAGGATGCGTCATTAATCAGTATTTCCAAGAAATTTGTTGTATCGTTAGCCTTTGCTAACATTGCTCGTCAAAATAAAGAGCTCCTGTTTTTACATTAAGCAATCTTCGTCATTCAGTCCGAATAATAGCTTAGACCTTCATTAAGAAATAAGCCGCTATTTAACTTTGGTACGTAACGCTATACCATAAGGTTGTATGTTTTGTGAAATGTTACCGTATTTAGAGAAACAGCCGCAGTTGAGCTTAACATCCTACCACTCATGCGATGAAATAACAGAAGTGTTGTTCACGGATGCTAAAGACTTCGAGTAACGGTTTCCTCAAATAGAGCTATTTTGAAGGCAATACAATTGTTTTACTCATCGCTTTCGTCTGATTGGCTGAATAGCTAATGACTATTCCCCGCTGGCATCTTTGTGACCAGAATCGTACATAATCCATAATCATTAAAGCAGCACCTGTCTTAGCCACGAAGAACAGCACGAATTGTTGAACAAGCCAACTGCAGTCAGTTCAAGTTTTGCGAACATTTCGTGAACACATAGGCAGCAATTTTCCACCTTCAGCAGGACAGAGGATGGCCGTTGTTAAGATAATGCAAACTGCTGTTTCAACGCTTGGCTGGTAACTTCTTATCCTAGAAAACAAACGAATGGCAGAAACGTGCATAACGAAACTTGAAGCTGCCGTTTTATTTTTAAGCTTCTTTCAAAGCGGTATCATTATTCCGATTTCCTCTGAATGTTCCGGTAAGTCAATTTTGAAATTTGTAAACGATGGATTTGCTTTGTCTAGTTTCAGGAGAGATCTGTGATGGAACAATTTTAATTGTTACATCTTATCACTGAAAAATACCCTGTAGTGCCGCTGTTGGCAAAACCCGAGACAGTGATTAAATTTTCCAATAGACTTATGCAACCGACATATCGAGCATAGCGGGGTTCCTTGCCGCTTTTAATAGTTCTTTCTGCCAAGATCGACTTTAGAAGAGATGCAGATTATGTAAGAAATATACAACTTTTTTGAAAGACATGACTCGGCATGCATATGCCATCTTCAGTCAATGAGTAACTGAGTGTGAACAATTATATAGCATACAAGCTAGTAGATGAATAAATTATTTACAATATGATGTAATACAAAAGCGGGAACTAATAACAATGTGACACCAAAGCATCAAAGGTGTAAACTAGAACGCTAGAAAAGTGCTATGATGCTGTAATTTTTTGTTAAGTTCAGGTTTTGATCTACCATGGATTTTAGAGCATCAAAAGTAATAATACACGTTACTTTAAACTCCATTTTGTCGGCTATTATTCTAAAATAGTGGACCTTAAACTCCGACAACTCACTAAGCGCTTTTGCAAATCGGACCTAAATATCAAACTAGTTTTCACCCCTTTTAAAATCATTAAACATGTTTAATGTTAAAGATCGTATTCCTGATACTCTAAAATCCTTGGTAGTTTACCAATTTTCTTGTGCGGGATGTAATTCCCGTTATATTGGCGAGACTAGTCGCCACTTTTCTATTAGGATAAAGGAGCACACGGAAAGCGATAAAAACTCGCATACTTTTAAGCATTTTAACACATCTCCTTCTTGTCAGAACAAATACTCCCCTTCTTGTTTTAGTATTCTGCATTCTGCTAACAACTCAATTGTTTTAAAACTCAAAGAAGCTTTTTATATAAATAAAATGAAACCTGAGTAACAAACAATTACTTAGTTCATATTAACCAAGCGGGAGGTCTGTATGGGAGAATCTTGACCGAGGTCGCCAGTACAGACCGAACCATAGTTAATCGAGGGGACTGGTTATGAAAGCCGGCGAACTTCAAAGGACCGGCCTATTGTTTGGGTTTTGAGGTTGAGATGCACCGTCACGTGACATTGACCGTGCATCTAAAAACAACATGGCGGACGCGTGTGATGACATGTTCTTCTTTGGAGACGATTTAGAGGCAATTTTAGGAGTTTTAGAAGAAGAAGAAGACCTTGATGAGCACTTCAGAGAAGCAGCTGCTGATGTAAGCTATAGAATCTGTTTTAATAGTTAAAATATAGCCTAAAAACGTCAAAAAGGAAGATTGAACATGAAGGTCGAACAGACTAGCTTTCGACATCATGCTTTCGATCAATCACTCTTATTTCGGGCTCTATTTATAAACCATTTCTTGCCTAAACGTTATTTTATCAGCTGTTGATTTAAAGATGATTTATGAACCTAAGTAGTGTGTGATGTTGATCGTGAATTTGGTTTTGCAGGTTCACCCACTGAGCGTCACTTGCCCTCATTGTCCAAAGAAATGCAAGAGTAAGAGCGGACTGAAACGTCACATCACTGTTAAACACAAAGATAAAACAGAAGAAACAGAAGAAACTGAGACAGACAAACCAGAAAATCGAGATCTATTAACTGTGGAAACGTATGCAAGCATCGTTGGCAATGCTAAAGTGAAACTTAGAGACAGCAAAATTTATCCAAAGGTAAACAGAGACGAGATATGGTCCTACAACTGCAACACTCTACAATCTTCAACACCTAAATTTTCTGAAATTCAGGGGCTTTATATTCAATTGGCAAAGTCTGGAAATGCAGAGAGGTTTTATGCAGCCTTTTACGCTAGCATAGTCTTGCATGCTTCGAGCCATTTTGTAGGATTATCAAGAAACTCTGCTACATTACTTTGTTCAAAAGTGGCCGACTGCCTTTTAACACATAGCAAAGAAAAAGCAGAAACTCACACATGTGAACCATTGACGAAATTATCTGATAAAGAGAAGTCAGGGTTACAGTATATTGGNAGACCTCTGATATAAAAGACCATAGCATGGCTTGCAATCTTGTCAGCTTTTTCAAGTGTTCCAAAGTTTATATCAGGATCTCCCAGGTCAAGGAAACCAGTTAGTTCCCCAGATACTTTGTCAAATACCAGATTTGACAAAATTTTCATTTCGTCAAAAAGGAGCACAATGTATCGTTGCACATCGAAGTAGCTGTTTGTAAGAACATTCAACTCCTCAAGTACTTCCTCTTGAATGCCAGCTTTGGGTCGTATACAATTTCTATAGTCCTTCAATGTGCGTTGGCTCGGCAGTACAAGGATGTTACTTTTCCTGAGCTCTTCATAGCATGCTGGGGACTTGGTAGCAAGTGACAAGCAGTATCGAATGATCATAGGATGGTATCGGACACCAGTTTTACTCTTTGTCATCAATTTCTTTTGCTGCTGCCAGAACAGATCCATGAATGGAGTGATATTTTCATTGGATGTCCCCAATATACTTGTAATGTCATTGCTTAACTGGTTGTCTACTTCTACACTTGACTTTTCTATCTCTGATTTCATTTCTTCAAGCTTTCGTTCTAGTTCTGCACACTTAAGCCTCTGTGTTTTTAGGGTTAGCTTTATTCTCTCTGGTGTTGTGTGAGAGACTGGAGCAAACAAATGAGCAGGCTTTGCAAGCTTTCTTTGCTTTGCTTTCTGATCCACCTCTGACTTGTGAGAGTATTTGTAGCAAACACAGCACTGCTCACCATGCTCCACCAAAACTTCACAGTCCCGTGTTCTCCAATATTCCAGCTGTGGGAATATCTCAGAATCATCTCTGAATAACGGATCCACTGACTTCGGTATAATGTGGTGTACGATATCGGATGACAGTTCAAATGGTCTCACTCCAGGGCAAATCAAGAGAACATCAATTCTCTTGATAAGTTCAGAGACTGTGATGTTCATAACGGATCGCAAGGTTTCAAGATGAATCGCATGATCATCTGGCAGAAACCATCCAAACACAGACACAGAAAAACCAAGACTATCATCGATGGTGAGCTGAATCTTTGGTAACACAAGCAGAGAACTCTTCTTTGTCAATACAATTCGATCGATTGCTGCCTCTAAGATCCACTCACTTAGAATTTTCAAAGATTTCACTCGTTTTACTAGATCTTTAAAGTCACTGTAGCATTTTTTAGGGGCCACTTCTGGGATTTCGTTGACTGCGCTTCGAGGTGGACGCACATTTACTGGTGTTGTGAAGCTACGCTTCGGCATGTTTACTGTTGGCAAGGCACCAAACTTCGGTTTCTTTTTCTGCATCTTTTCAGATTGAACTAGAGTAGAAACAATCACAAACAAACAGAATCAGAATATAACGTTTGAAGTTTATCAAAGCTCAAGTTAATTGATAAGCTATGCACCTAAGCACCGCGCAGATTATGTCTAGGATCGCGTGTAGTTAAACTTATAAGATTGCATTTAATACTTACAAATCTCAATATCCTCGGGCCTAAAATGGTTTTCGCACGTAAAGACACGATCATTGTCGATCTGGCGCTTGAAATCTTTGTCTACAACGCGTGTTTTGGTCAATTCGTTTAGCCAAAGTTCTCGCCATTTCTTGTATTCAGCATTGCGAGGGGCAGGAAGTTTCCAGATGCCGATTCCTTTCGTTTTGCGGGACGAGCCGCAACCAAAAACAGAGCAGTTATCTCCGGGCATTCCTTCTTCATTTATAGATACATACAAGCAGTATTTAAGAAGGAATAGTAATATTACAGACGTAAAACGTGCAGTCATCAGTACAAACGCTCACATGTGAGATGCCATCTTGAATCTATGTGATGCACGGTCACGCTAGGTTGAACTCGAAAAACCAAAACAATAAGCTATCCCTTTGAAGTTCGCCGGCTTTCATAACCAGTCCCCTCGATTAACTATGACCGAACGCACTGAGGTCTGTACCAGCGACCGAGGTCAAGCTTCTCCAAGACAGACCGACCTAGCTCGGTTAATAAGATGTTTATTATATGGCTGCGTCTTATATGCCAATTATTCTATATTCTTTGTACCTTTTTTTTTCTAGACCGGTCTAGATGCCGGTAACCCAAAACTGAGGAAAATCTAGACTGCTTTCAATATTGATTTAAGCCAATCAAATTCGTGAATTCGGTAGTTCCCAGTACTTGTGAGACACAGCCATATAATAAAGCATCATAACCCATTACTAGCGTTCTAGTTTACACCTTTGATATCTTGGTGTCACTTTGTAATTAGTACCCGCTTTTGGTAAATAATTTATTCGTCTACTTGTATGCTCTATAATTGTTCACACTCAGTTACACATTGATTGAAGATGGCATATGCATGCCGAAACATGTCTTTCAAAAACGTTGTATAACTCTTACAATATCTATTATACTTGCTATTATTGCGATCAGATGTAGATTAATTACTTTCTTCTTTGACGGGTAGCTCCCCTCTGGTTTTCACAACCTGATTCAGTGTACATTCAAAATCTAACGGTAAAATCCCAGATATACCTGCTAAGACAAGTTATTTCGTCAGTACAAAGCTGACATGTAGACTCCTGGGATAACATTGCAGGAAAACCCCTCAGAGCACAATAAGGCAGCAATAAACCATTATCGAGTGTCTCGGGAGGAAAATTAATTTCTTAAAGATGTTGCCCTGCCATTATCTTATTCTAAACCAAAACAGTGCATGAACGTGTTCTGCTATTTGCAAACCAACTAGGTGAAGAATGCCGATCCATCGTTTTCAAAGAACCCATAGAGGGCAAAGTTATGACGGGCCATCTGATCAGGCTTGAAGAGGTGCCCCATCGAGGCAGTTGTAATGTGCTGTGTTATATGGAGCCCAATTGTGTGTCCATAAATATTGGGCCTTCTCAAGGAGGAAACTACAATTGTGAGTTGAATAATGCTTCAAACGAAAGTCCAGGCTGGTCGCGTGACCTTCAGAGTAAAGAAGATTATACCCATCTCAGTATCGAGGTAAAGTGACTTATTTAGAAAATGAAAAATTATTCTGGGCTATTGTTTTGACAGATTACTTCTTAAACTAGCCTTACAATTCTTGTACAAGTATTGAATTAAAGTGATCTCTCAGTATTGCTTTGCGTACCCTGAGGAACGTTTTGACCTGATTTCGTTTGAAATCGTCTGAGCGCCATTTCGCTCGAGACGCTTGCTAATCTACCAAATGTTTTTTTTAAGTGTTACACAGTGTACTTTATAAAGCTATCGAGAAATGTGCTGTGAAACGATGAAATAACCCTCTTGATTAGAACTAGTACGGGTATGAATAGGAGAAGATTGGCCTATCAATCTCTTTGGTGACCTTTCCTTTGTATGGTAGTTCTAGAAACGGAGATTGATGGAAATGGCTAAAATGACGGGACCCATTCACTACCCACGAAACCCAATATCGAGCACCGCGATTGGCAGATTTTCTGGTTTAATGACATATAAAGTGTTACTATTTCTTGTCTCTTCTTACTTTATTAAAAAGCCACGAGAAGTTACCGTTCCAGCAAAAATTGTCCCTTTGAGATTACATGATAACCAGATAAAGTAAAATAGCCAGGCATGTTTATGATACGCAGCCATTTTGTCTTCAACAGAATCCCTGTAGCAGCAGTCCCTGTTTCAACAATGGCACATGTCAAGCTGGATACACTGATAAAGTATTTCGTTGTAAATGTCCTTTAGGATTCACTGGTGTATACTGCAAGAAAGGTAATTAAACACAAAACTGTAAAGTGGGATGAATATCGAATGATAATTATGGGGAGGATGAAAATTTATTTTTCTTTTTTTAATGTAGCCTGCAGCCTTGACTTTGAAGATGGAATCAGCGGTTGGGAAATGACAGGCAGAGCTTTCATTTATCAGCCAACATTTGGTGACAATACAAAATCTCGCGGCAGAGAAAGTGCCAATCTGCAAGGGAACTGGTGGATAGGGGGAGCTGAGAAACGGCCCAAAGAGAGCGATCCCTCAGGACGGCTGCATTTAGATGGACCTGACGTACCCAAGGGAACTCTCACCTCACCTTGTTTTCGCATCGTAGGCAAGAATATCTCGTTTCTCATTGGTGGGGGATGTACCGTAAATGAAGCTCATGTGGAGCTTATTGTCAACAGCCAGGTGAGATTATTCACTTTGACTATTATTTAGTCTTTTGATTCTTTTAAAGCAAATTAGTGGATTGATCAAGGTATCAGAGAATTGGCTTTCAAAATTGCGAAACTGTTTTGAGCTTCGGGATATCCATAAAGTTCGCTTGGGTTTCAAATGAAAATTTTATAGGGGAAAAAATATTTAAAAAAGTAAAATCTAAACATTTTCGACCCTTGGTCATTATTTGGGTAAGTGATGATGAGCCTGATAACAACCGCGCGTCGAAAACGTTTGGTTTTACTCTCGGTTAGCTCCATGGATAGAGCGCTGGACTGTTATGCGGGAGGTCGAGGGTTCGAGCCCCGGCCGGACCAACACTCAAGGTCTTAAAATAATTGGGAAGAACATGCTAACTTTCTATAACATCAAGAGATGGTTAGATATTCTAGTCTTCTGTGATAGGGACGGAGAAATGGAGGTCCCGTCTCCTGCAGGGTTAGGGGTAGAGGACGTTAATTTCCCACGCACGAGATTACTGTGTGGTGGATGTCCACACTTGGGTGGGATGAGTAGGTTAGGTGGATGAACCTAGTAGAGGACTACGGATCCTACTGTTCTCTCGCCTGTAGAATGTAGGAATCTCTAAAAATACAAAAAAAAAAAAGAAAAGAAAAAAAATTAAATATTTTTTTACTTAGAAATGGCTTATTGTGAACTTACTTAAGGGAGAGTCCGCGAGATAACCAATTTGGCGTGTGGCTCTCTATATTTCACTTTTTAATTTTTTGGCTTACCCTCCTTCGAAATAGTATTTCCCCCCTAAGATTATACCATTGCAAGTAAATGAATGTAGGTTATACTCATGTTAGATGCACCAGCAATCGTTTAAACAAAGGTTTAAAAACTGTTTATGCTTGTCGTTAAGTTTAGGTTGTCAGAAAGGAGGTAGGAAACTGTTTGGAGACAATGTACCGTAAGAGCTGGGACGTAGAGGAGTTTATTGGTCAATATGCACAAGTCAGACTTGTAGATGAGAGTTCTGGTGGTTATGGTCACATCAACTTTGATGACCTTAAAGGAGATATCATTTGTCCTCACGATTTAGACGAGAAAAACTGAAGAGACAGCGGCTTTAAAAACTAACTTAACAATTCAAGTCACCTTGAAAGTATGGTGAAACAGCTTTTGACGTAGTATAGTACTTTCTTTGTGTTATAGTAGATGGGTACAGTCACTGTGTTTTTTGTCAACAGTAGAAATGCATTGTGAAACAGTTTTATGTACGTGACTGAGAAGGCTATAATCATATAATACAATCGCTACATCAGTTTAATGCGATGACGAGGATAGTCGATTGCCTTAGATGGTAGCAATCGCACCATATTTACTTTTCTTAATATTTGCTTTACAAAATCCATATCCATAAAAACTCCTAGTGATTCTGTTCGGGATTAGATATTGAAGTCATTTTTGAGTTACTGCTTCCAAAACAGGTTTCAAAATAGGGCAATATTGATGTTTTATTTGACTCTTTCAATGCTTAATCCTCAGTTATTCTACAGAAGCACTTTATTAAAATTTATTATTTAATTAAAATTTAAATTAAAATTAAAATTTAACATTTAATAATTAATAATTATTTCATGAGCGCGCGTTGGATATGAGATGATAGATAGCCAAGGAGGCGCCTCGTTGGCTATAATCATCTCATATCCAACAAGCGCGTGTGGAATAATTGTTTTATTAAAAAAAATGCCCCCCTAGATATAAGACAAATCTTCTCGACTTTATTTTGTAAGAAGAAACTGGATGTTACAATGTGCAGATTTAGATTATGTTATATTGGCTCATACACCATAATGGCCAAGCGACTAAAAAGTCTTGAAGTGCATTATCCAACTATCCAGTTTTTAATAATACAGTTTTTAACAGAATTCCTCGCGTACAGAGATATCCCATAATTTTCTTTTGATATAAATATCATTTTATGTTGCGGACAAACAAGTTTGGTTTCATACTTACCAGGAACTCGTGAACACAGCGTCTGTTGTTAGAGAGAAAAAGTTAATGAGAATAGAGAAGATCACCCACGAAACCATTCACAAATTAAACTTAATTTCTTTTGATTCGTGAAGTTATCCCTCAGTAATTTTCCTTCTGCCACGTGTTAGCAAGCTCTTTTCAATGATGTAGGCAATCTTTTAAAGGTGTACGAAAATTGGGAAACGGCGGAAGTGGTGCTTGTAAATAAATAAATAAAAAAAAAAAAAAAAAAAAAAAAAAAAACTACCGCTAAACCCAGGGTCGTAGACAAAAAAAAAAAAGGTTTTCATGGCTTCTTCTACTAGGCAAGCACAAACACTTGACTGATTATAAATTGCAAAGATTAACTTTCCGTTTTAAAGCAAATCAAGTGATGACGTCTGAGCTCTTCCCTATAAAATCTTACAGCAAGTAGAGACTTGTCTTCATGTAAGAGGTTAGCTGTGGCAGGCTGAAGAGTTTGCGTAACTGTTGCCGTTTGTGTAGTAGTGAGAGGTTTTCAAAGGTTTTTGATAATTATTCTTTGCTCGAAAAGTCATTTTGAATTAAAAGTTTATATATTTGCACGATTAAAGGCAGTTCACCTCCAATGAAATATAAAGTGCCAAAAATATAGTTTGAAGCTTTGTTCGATCCCTTGGTGATTGATATAGTGGAGATTAAATGACATTTGTTCGGAAAATTTTAATGTAGCTTCGTTAATACTTGATACGTGAATGAAACACTCGGTGCGAAAAGCCATAGAGATGGGCTTGGAAAAGGAAGACAGTTGCAATAAATACGAACAAAACGCTTTTGCTCAAATTTCTTTGATTAACCAGAGTAGTATAGTAAATGGGGGTATTAGCACATCAATTTTGTGGCCCCTAAAATCCCAAAATTACGCACAAAATTGCGCGCAAAATTACATGCAAAATTGCTAACTCATCAAAATTCAAAATTGCTGACTCATCAAAATTCAAAATTGCTGACTCATCAAAAATTCCAAAACCTGTTTTCAGTTTTTAAAAACACTTAAAGAAAAATTACATCTACAAAATATGAATAAAATCGGATGACAAAATCCAACAAAAAAACCAAAATACACTTAAAGAAAAATCGCGTATAGAAAATATGGAAAAAATATATCTACATATGATATAGATATGAATAAAAGTGAATTACTGAAGCTGACAAAAGACCAGCTCGTTCGCATAATAATGAACTTGAGACCTGTTCCAAGATATCAACCCAAAACACTCAACAAGAAAATTAAATTCGCTCCATCATTCAAGAATGTTAAATAGGTGGTTGAATCTTATGAAGACAACATTATTAATTATCCTGTTCCCCTATCAAGAACAAAGAAGCCTGTCCCTCTGCCAAGAACAAAGAAATCTATTCCATCACCAAGAACAAGAATTGATGAGACAAATAAGGCTTTGGAGGATTCACTAAATCATATGAAATACAAATAAGAAAATTACGAAAATCCATGAATTCAAATGCAGAGCACAAGATTGGCTGTTGGACGATATACTAAAAAGATATCGAATGATATGAAAGGTCTCAAATTCACAGAGACACTAAAGATCACCTTTGAGAAGCATATTGGTCATGGTGTAGTAGAAACAAAAACAGTATATTTCAATAGTAAACCCCAGACAATAATAAATGAAACAGAAATAGAAGACTCCTCAGAATTAACAAAGCAATATATATCACAGAGGGATCTGGCTGGAGTACCCAATCTGTTGATAATCACTACCTTAATACTGTCCTGTATAATCCTACAAGGGAATCTTCTAATATTCAACTTCCACCAGTACTGAGAAATGGTACTGAAAAAAGGATTAATTAATTTGAAAACTACTGATAATGAATGCTTCCGTTGTTGTCGTATCAGACACTTAAATCCATGGCCACGAGAGAAAAATTTCCAGAGGATCATAAAGGCTGATAAAGCTTTAGTTGAACATTGGTTTACTCAGGAATTGAATTACCAGTAGCTATTAAACAAATCAATAAAATAGAAAAGCAAAACAATATCAACATCCATGTATTCGGCTATGATAATAAACAACGATATCCAATATACGCCAATAAGAAGAGAAAAGAAAATCATCTAAACCTTTTATTGATTACAGAAGAGAAAAACTCACAATAGGTTTTAATAAAAGATTTCAAAAGATTTATGTATAACCAAACGAAACATAAAGAGAAAAAGCACTTTTGTATGTACTTTTTGCAGTGTTTCAGCTCTGAAAAAGTATTAACTAATCATAAAGCTAATTGTCTCATAATAAATGGAGCTCAAGCTATAAAGATGCCGACTAAAGACAACAACATATTGAAATTCAATAATTATCACAAGCAACTACCTGTTCCATTTGTTATCTACGCTTATTTTGAAGCAATAACAGAAAAAAGGACAAGGTTGCCAACCAGCTGGTGATGAATTTTTCACTGAAGCTTATCAAAAAACATACTGACCATGGTTATAGTTATAAGGTTGTTTGTACTTATGATGATAGATATACAAAACCTATTATCATCTATCGTGGTGAGAAAGCTGTTCACAGATTCATGGAACA